GTGTATGGTGCATGCAAGAGGCTATCAAACCAACCTTGGACAGAGGTATATCATGCTGAAATAAGGTCTAATACATGCTAAGACGGAGACAAAACAAGCTTAACAAACATGTTACTTTTATGAGCCATCAATACAAGCATATGAGACATCAGGAGAGGGGATGACCCTCTCCTATTTGGGACCTCAAAACACCATTTCCACCACTGCAAATCCTCTAGATTTCAGTGGTGAGAAGGCCAAAACAAGGTGGTCCCAATAGCTTAAAAAGAAGGCACAAGAACAAGACCAAACAAGGCCTAAGAGGGGGTAGACAACCCCCAACACAAAAGTGACCTTAAACAAACATTACAAGCATGAAAAATCAGAACTTTTTACAGTAGAAAGTTATGCATAAATCAGCATGCAAATAGGTCCAAAAGCTTAAACCAAAACAAGGGTCTAAAGGCTAGTTGACTCACCCTTGAAGAACACCTTCAAGAACACAACTCCAGCACTCTTTTCTGACCAAAACTAGTCCAAAAACGCCAACACCAGCTCCTAAGTACCTCAGCAACAAAATGATGGTGTTCTAGTAGGTGCTTTAGTGCAAAAATATGAAAAAAATACACTTTTGAGCACAAACTAGGGTAAATATGGAGAGAGAGGTAAAATATAGAAACAGAGATATAAATTTTTGTATCTCAATTTTCAGAACCTCTGGAAAGGGAGAGGTGTCTCCCTTCTTATAGAAAATCAATTCTCAAGCTTGTTGAACAAGCTTGAGTCTTGATTCAATCCCTCCATACACGTGTATGGGGGATGAGATCTGTGCTCACCAGCTGTCACAGCTGGCAAGAAAATCTCTGCAAAAGCAGGTGGAAAGGTCTCGGCCAAGAAAGAGTGCCGATCGACCAAAAAGAGTGCCGATCGGCCACCACTTATGGCTGATGGCAAGAAAACAAGGCCGATGGCACAAGGCCTTAGCCGATGGGATGTAGGGATGGCCAACAAGCCACCATCTTCCCTCAAAAGCAAAAACCACAAGTCATTGGTCCACAACCAAGCACAAAACAAACAAGTTGAGAGATCTTAAGGCAACCTTCGAGAACTCAAAACGAACACGAGCATGGATGATCATCAAGTGTTCAAACAATGACGTCCAAGTCTTGAGGACGGTTAAAAATAGGGTGTCTACACCGATGCCTTTCCCCCGGAAGAAGTTGGAAAAGACCCCGTATGAGTTATGAAAAGGTGTCAAGCCTTCTTATAAATTATTACGAATGTGGTGGTGTCTTGCAAAAGTGGCGGTGCCTACACCCAAGCGGGTTTGGATAGAACCGAGGTTAGTGGATTGTGTATTCATTGGATATGCACATAATATCAGTGCATATCAATTTCTTGGGTATAGGTTTGTTACTCCAAATATACACAAGAATACTATCATAGAATCAAGAAATGCATCTTTCTTTGAAAATGTATTTTCGTGTCGTCTCCAAGAAGGGATTCAGAGTTCCATGAAAGAGATTGAAGGTGACAATGATCACATAGCTGATCAAACAGATGATTAAGCTGAAGATGTAGATGAGCCAAGAAGGAGTAAAAGGGCTAGGATTGCAAAGTCTTTTGGTCCGGACTTCTTGACTTATATGTTAGAGGGAAAACCTCGAACTTTCCATGAAGCTGTGACTTCACCTGAAATTCCTTTGTGGAAAGAAGCAATTAAGAGTGAGATTGACTCCATCTTGCAGAACCATACTTGGAAGTTGGTTGATCTACCCCCAGGAAGTAAGGTCTTAGGGAGTAAGTGGATCTTTAAAAGAAAGATGAAAACTGATGGGTCAATTAATAAGTATAAAGCTAGACTAGTTATCAAAGGATACAGGTAGCGTGAAGGCCTAGATTATTTTGATACGTATTCACCTGTGACAAAGATTACATCCATTCGCATGGTGATTGCAATAGCAGCTTTACGTGGTCTGGAGATACATTAGATGGATATAAAGACAACTTTCTTAAATGGAGATTTAGATGAAGAAATCTATATGGAGTAACCCGAGGGGTTCTCAGCTCCAGGACAAAAATAAGAAAGTCTATAAGCTTGTCAAATCATTGTATGGTTTGAAGCAAGCTCCTAAGCAAAGGCATGAGAAGTTTGATAATGCTATGTTATCAAATGGGTTCAAAATCAATGAGTGTGACAAATGCATATATGTCAAAGACATTGACAAAGGTTATGTCATTTTGTGTCTGTACGTAGATGACATACTCATTGTTTGTAGTAATGATGAGATGATTCGAACTACCAAGAGATTGTTAAACTCTAAGCTTGACATGAAACATATAGGCCTTGCAGATGTAATTCTGGGTGTTAAGATTACCAGGACATCTGATGGTATTATACTTTCTCAATCTCACTATGTTGAGAAGATACTTGAGAAATTTGACAAATCAGATACAAGTTTGTCTAGGACACCGGTAGACGTGAGTCTACATTTGACCAAGAATAATGGTGAGAGTGTTTCTCAGCTAGAATATTCTCGAGTCATTGGAAGTTTGATGTATCTGATGAGCTGTACAAGGCAGCCTACTTTGTTAGCAGGCTTAGTAGATACACAAGTAATCTGAATGCTACTTATTTTAGGAGCATTATGCGAGTGTTAGGTTATCTATGTTACACCCCGGGGTTATGGGCTACATTATACCAGATACCTAGCGGTACTACAAAGGTATAGTGACACTAATTGGATACCTGATATAAAAGACTCCAAATCCACTAGTGGTTATGTGTTTGCCCTCAGAGAGGTAGTCGTGTCTTGGAAATCTTCCAAGCGAATGTGTATATCGAGATCAACGATGGAATCTAAGTTTATTGGTTTGGATAAAGAAACTAAAGAAGCCAAATGGCTTCGCCAGTTCGTTGAGGATATTCCACGTTGGTCGAGACCTGTGCCAACCATCTGTATTTATTGTGACAGCCAATCGGTGATTGGATGGGCATAGAGTAATATGTATAATGGAAAGTCTAGGCATATTCATCGTAGACATAATTCCATATGACAACTACTCTCGAATGGATTTGTCACTTTAGACTATGTAAAGTCTCAGGACAACATTGCGGATCCGCTAACCAAAGGGTTAAATCAAGTGTTAGTAGAGAAGTGGTCAGAAGGAATGGGGTTAAGGCCTTTAGTGTAAGGTGTTACCGGAATGGAAACCCAACCTAGTTGATTAGAGATCCCAAGATCTAGGTTCAATGGGACAACCTAATTGCATGTAACGGTGGTATGTCAATAAGGAGGTTAAACCTCCAGCCATTCCTTTTATCAGTGATACCTGTAAGTGTAGAGGTTGAGCTAAGCTTTTAATGACTCTAGTGTGCTGAGCTGTTGAGCTGAGTATTGCAGGATACTCAAATGGAGTCACTTATGTGAGTGTGAAGTAGGGTCGCTTGTATAAGAATTAACAGGGTCTAATTCTTTAAACCACTCACTGAACCAAGCTAGTGTACCAAAGCCAAACCGGACACAACAATGAGAACAAAACAATGGTTGGAGTAATTCCTATGTGAGGTCTGTTGTCTTGGTTTGCATAAAGGGCAGAACAGTTCAAGACTTCGTGTTCACTGAACAGCAAGTAAATCCGATCAACTTCACTATGAGGGGTTCAAAGCCAAAAGCTATTTTTCCTGATGCCGGGGTTATTCCATTGTACTCTCTCCGAGTCTTTGTTGTTAAGCGTTGTCCGTTTATTGTTTTCGGTCAATTTTTTTCATGTGGGGGATTGTTGGAAAAATAATGATTTTTGATAACTTTAATGCAATATTAAAGTGGGTGTCAATCCTCAATTGAGGTGGAGTAAAATGGGTTTAGATTTTTTGTAGTGAAATCTTTGCACCACAAAAAGAATGACCAAAAACCATTAAGATTTGAATGAGAAATTGACTCATTAAGTTGGCCTCAAGAAAGAGATATTGGGCAAGGCGCAAAACCTCTATCCCACATTGATTGTAGAAAAGAGCATTGATGGGTATTTAAATCCCAGTTTTTGCATAAGAGGGCATCCAAATGTTTCAAAAGAAATGAGTTATGGATGCTTCAAGAATGGACTTGGGCCAAGAGTATAGTCCAAGTTGGTTATGCAAAAATTGCCACACGTGCACGCGCGTGCTACCCGGCCGCTCAGACTGGACCGGACCGGGTCTGGGATCGTGATCCGTGGGTCGTGGGTCATGGATCGTGGATCTTGGACCTTGGACTTGGGCTTGCTGAAATGGATTGAGTGTGGGGGTTGGGCTTGGCCCACCCATCTTAATCTTTTTGGGCCAAGTCAGATGTATGGGCTGCAAGAATATGTACACGAAACCTGGTCTCTTTTATTGATGATGGAATTAAACCCATCAGTTTTGCAGAATTAATTCAGGTTAATGCAGAGTTAATTCTTACAGTTGTTGCAAGGGAGCCTCTTCTGCTGTCCCTCCATGTGTATAAAAGGAGGCCTTCTCCTTCAGCTTTCTAGACCAGAAATTGCTACTACTACAGTCTTTAAAAGTTTTCTAGTTTTATTATTTTCTTCCTGTGAGAGAGTATTGCAAAGTTTTGTTCGCCGAAGCTATTCAGTCGGTGCATTACATAGCTCGTCCAACCGTCGTATCTTGGGAGACAGACGTCGAATAGCCTCCAGCACCCAACCGGTGAGGCGGCAAATCTGTTTTAAGGACACTGTCTAGTGCAGGCTTCGGTTTATTTCATTTTGCTAGTTTTATTTTATTATGAATTTCTGTAAATTCAAGCATGTTCTTATTTTGAAATTCAATTTGTTTGTTCAATATGAATCTATTTATAATTTTGTTATCATGCAATTTATACAACAATAACTTCGGTGCAACACAGTATTATGAGAACTGCATAGCAAGTGCAATACAAGACATCAAAAACCGTTGTGAAAACTGAAGCGAAGCGGTTGTGTGGGAGGAAAATTGCCAGTTGCGCTACTCCAATGAATTGTTCATTGGCACCTTGGGCATGACAGGAAACATTCCGCAATACAACTCAGAAAATGTTTTAGATGATGAACTAGGCCAGTTCATTTCTGTCGTGAATGATACGCTGCATAAGCTTAGCAGGCTGGCAGCATTCAATGCTTCATATGGTATGTATACCACTGAAGCGGTGAACTTCACAGACACTAAAACAATATACGCTCTCGTGCAGTGCACTGCAGACTTGTCTCCAGATGACTGTAACACATGCCTTGAAAGAGGAATAGCAAACTCTTCAACTTGCTGCTCTAAGTGTCGTGGAGCTAGACTTTTTAGTCGTAGTTGCTTCTTAAGGTATGAGTTCTATGCGTTTTATCCGCATGTGAGTAAAAATTCAACAGAAAATCAGAGGATATTTGCAAGTAAGTGTTAACAAATTATCTATCAATATTCGAATTTGTTGTACAACTAGTAAGCTGCAAATTTAGCAACTTTTTTTTCTTCTTGATTTTCGAAAGAAAGCAGCAGGTATTGGATGATTGTTGGCCTTGCAATTGGATCAGCAATTCTAGTTGTACCACTTGTGGGATTTTGTGTCTACTGTCCTGTTACAAGGAATCAAACTAAGACAAGTAATGATGCTATGTAGCTGAAGATTCTTTTTTTTCCCCTTCACTAACAATCATATCTTTTTTTTCATCACTCTAAAATTAAACCTGTTATTTTTTATTATTATTATTATTTTTTTTTCCAATTTTTGAGGAAAGGCAAGTTTCTGGCCAAGAAGTTCAATTACATGAAATTGGGGACCCCAACAAGACAGATGCACATCATCAGAATTTGCAAGCAAGGGACAACTTGAATTCTCGGAATTTCCCATTCATTGATTTGGTGACCCTAGGTGCAGCTACAGATAACTTCTCGGCTTCAAATAAGCTTGGACAAGGTGGTTTTGGTCCTGTTTACAAGGTGATGACAAATTTTTTTTTTCTTTTTTCTTGGTTCCTAGTTTTAATTGCCTGAAACATTTTTTTTCCAGGGTCAATTACTTGATGGGAGGAAAGTTGCAGTGAAGAGGCCCTCAAGTTGTTCAGAGCAAGGTTTAGATGAATTCACCAATGAAGTTTTATTAAAATTTTGAACCTAAAAGGGCTAATAGTGTAATTTACCCTAATTAAGACCCTATGCAAGGGGAGCTTCTATTTACACACATTAAATCCCCTCTATGCACACACTTAATTCAGGAGGTGTGTAAGAAGTGTAGTGAGGAGAGATGTGTAGAAAGTGGATGTTGTGTGTGTAAATAGAAGCTCCCCTATGCAAGTTGTCATTACCAGTCTTTTTCTTTCACATCCTTCTACCTCATGACTGGTCGTTTATCCTGCGAGGCGACCGACTAATTGTAATCGGATGTGGAAGGAATAATTTCCTAACTTTTTTCAATTCTTGTCTGGAATTTTCAATGTATGCTTGTCATTAGTGAGGAATTGGTAAAATCAAAAGATGAATTGTAAGCCATTAATGCGTAGTGGGTAAACTCAAAAGTGATTATTAAATAATAAATGTTAATAGTAATGTCTGCTTTTTGGAGAATGGTATGGTGATGATTTTGGGTGCTTGGAAAATTACTATTTTAGTAGATTTTTTTAATTTTTACTATTTTAGTAAGTTAAAATTTTTGTATTTTAGAATATAGTTTGATTTATTTTTTAATTGGATGTGATGTTTATGAGAGAAAAAAATGAAATGATTATGAGTTTGATGTTACATTTTGTCTTATTAATTATTTTAGTATATTTTGTCTTTTTGTAAATTTTAACCCAAAAAACCTTAAAAAAAAAACCATTGCCAAACACCCTCACAAAGCAAAGGACAATTACAGATTAAAAAAAAAAAAAACCAATAAAAGAAAAGCAAAATTCAAATAATGCGTCATAGCAAAACCTTCTTATCCCAACTATACCTTACCACATACAGTCATATGTAAACACTCACCCAAAACAACCTTGTTTAAACTAAACGTTGGTGCTACATATATTAATTGATATACTAATTAGTATAGTAACATATATTATGATATTATTATTTAAAAATTATGACGCCACCTATTATACAAATAACAAAGATTTAAAATCTTTAAAATTACACCACATCATCTATTAGTACACCAATAATATATCAATTGATGCATATGACATTATTCTAAATTAAAAAACCAAAACAAAAAGAGCAAAAGGAATGAAACACAATTACAATTCCATAAACATAACAACAACAACAAAAAAAACAAAAAGAAGAAGAAGAAGCAGCCAAATTTGCTAAAATTAAAATACTTGTACCAACTTTGTTTGATTAATCACTTCCTCACTCCAAAATAGAATGCCATTACACAACCTATTGTTTTCTTAGTACTTAAATTACATTTTAAAATTCAATGCATGCTACAACCAAGCCTTGGAAACAATGTTTGAAAACATGGACCGGCCGGTCGGACCAATGACTGAGGACCTAGTTCTGGTCTAGATGATCCTCTAAACCTGGATTATACTCAAAATTGGCTTAAAATTTGAAAACTGGAAGAATAGCCTGTTCAATCGGAATAACTGGCAAAACCGGCCACGGGTCAACATAAGAATCGTTTGAGTTTAAAGACTTAAAATTTCTTCCAAAAATATAATGTGGAGAGGGGTTCAACATGGAGCAAATCCATAAAAAGCAAGCACTTAAACCACGTCAATACAATTGTTAACAATGTAATAAGTTTATATACTATATATTAAACATTATCTTAATTATTTTTACTAAAAATCAATGTATAAAAAACGTACAATAAATTTTAAGAAATATATATATTTTTGTAACTGTTTATTATTTATTATTTATTTATTTTTGTAATTTTAATATCTATATTTTGTGTACTTATAAATTTCAATATATTTATGACATAATTATGACATCATGGTTCAATTCCGGTTCACCCACGGTTGAACTAATGACCCATCCGCCCAGTCACTTTGCCGGTTCGCACACTGGTCCGGTTTTCAGAACATTGCTTAGAAAGCAACCATTCTTCTTCTTGTATTAATATTGCCTCTATTATTTTAATGACAGTAACCTCTAAGACCATCTCCAATGGTTACTCAAATCTATCATCAAATCTGAGTTTGGTGAAAAATCACTCATTTTCCTACTTCAACGGTATCAAATTCAGGATTTTCCTTTTCTTTCAACAAATTGAAAACCAATGTGCTTTTCATCAAATCACAGTTCATAGCCGTTTGATTTTCACTATCTGATGTCCCCCTGGATGTCCCTCCGGATGTTCTCCAAATGACCACCTCAAAGCAAAAATTCGTGAAAAAATTACACTGACCAGCCGACCCCCTGATTGTCCTCCCAGTCATCCGCTCGGTCCACCCCCCGGATAACTACCTCAAAGCAAAAATTTGTAAAAAATTTACACTAGCCGGTTGACTAGGCGGATGGTCATTCGCCCGGTTGACCGGTGTTTTGATAAAGCTTCAAAAATCTCTGTTGGAGCATTTGATATCAAATGAAACTTTTACTCAAATTTGATGAAAATTTTGATACACTGTTAGAGATATTCTAATATTTTAAAAACTATCAGTTTGTCTGATTTTGAATTTTCAAAAGTAACTTTTTAATTTTTTGTTAGACTTTCAAAAATGGAGTGACTGATGTAACAAAACATTTGAGTAGAATATGAGAGCCCAACGAATACGGCAAAATGGGCTTCTATATATTGAAATTCTTGTCTATTCTTGCGTTGGACCTCTAGTCTAGGGGAGAGGAGCCAATCCCTTCGAGACTTGCATGATATATTTTTTTTTTTGCTTGTACATTGAAATTCATAGTCTATGACAAGACTTGAACCTTTAATAAAGTATAGGAATTCTGAGTAACCCTTAACACTTACCTATAATTCATAGAATAAGTTAATAAAATCTGGTTGTCAACAAGCGGTCCTATCAAGTTGTCTTCGCCCAGAAGTATGATATTGGGCATTTTTAATATCAGAGTCAATTCCACAAATGGGTTAACATTTATGTATTGACAACCAATCTGTATCTGGAAAATGATAGCATTGGAGTATCTAATGCATATCATTCTTTTAGTCATTGAATTGTATACAACAAAATGGACAATACCACATCAATTGTCAATATATAATAATTGTAGGGTAAGTACTATTAGTATTTAGGGAAATTTATACTTTGCCCCATGATTTTTTAGTTGTATTACTTAACCCCTTATGCAATTATATGTTCGTGAATATTGATACCGAAAGTCTAAAATCTCCATATATATCGACTGATATTTAAAAAAACAGATTAGAGATATACCATTTTCTACTATCTATTTCAGTTCTTCCCAACCACTTCTTCAAACCAGCCTCCTCCATCACTCTCTGCCTTCCAAAGCCCAACTACAAATTATCATTTCATACACTTGTTCCCTACTTTCTCACTCTTGATTCTTTTTTTTTGATACATCGGAAAGGAGTCACTCACTCACTCTTGATTCAGCCCCAACACAAACCCCAACAAAGCTGAGCCCCCAAAACTATGGAACAATAACCATCTATCAATACCCACTTGTCTACTTCAACAACATTTTCTGATCTATCAATAAACCCTTCTTCAAATTCCCAAGACAATAAGACAATGACTTTGGCAATACGCAACCACATCAAAACCCACTGCAAATCTAATATTCCCTCTCCAAATCACCATAACAAGGAACCCAACAATTCCTATTTGTTTGGTGTAACTAAGAAATTGGGGAAATTAGCAGTGATCCTTACATTTTACTTATTATGTTGTTTTGATTCTTACAATTTCGATTGGCTTAATTTCGATCCTTAATTTTGAAAATTTTGTATTAATTTAGTCCAATTGATAATATTGTTAGTTTTTGTTTTTTGTTTTGTTTTGTTTTTTGTTTTTTGTTTATTTATTTATTATTATTATTTTTTTTTATCACAAAAGCTTCAATTACAAGGAATTGAATCAAAACACCCAAGAATAGCCAAAAGAGGCTGGGAAACCCAATCCAATGGTAACATATTGTCTAGGCAAGCACGAGTGGTTCAATGGGTAGACCCATTAGCTACTCTAGGGCGCCACTTAATTAATTGAGATTAATTCACTGAGTTTAGTAAGTTTATAATTTTGTCATTAAAAAGATGACACATGATATTTATGTGCGTATGCTCTATAAAAAGATGCTAAGAGTTATAATCAATTAAACCAAATTGAAACAAAATTATAAATTTATGGTCAAAATAATGTCAATTGAAATTATGGAGACCAAAATGACAAAAAGACCAAAGTAGGGACTATCATTGTAATTTATCATTATTATTTTTATTTTTTATTTTAATTAATTATTTTATTTTATTTTATTTTTCTTTTATTTATTTATTTATTTTTTTGGGTGCTCAACACTACGTAGGATCTGGACTCAAAAATTAGGGATGGAAATTAGTTTATCATCCATTCTTCTTCGTCATGTTACAGTCATACATCATATATTCATAGTCATGTAAAGTAATTTAAGATAGCGTAAATTACAATTTGCCCCCTTCATATTCGGTTACTTTCTCACTTTGGATCTTAAAATTTATTTATTTTTTACTCTAGTCTTTCATGTTTCAAGTTTTTTTCAATTTACTATTTCTGTTAAAAATTAGACAGAAAAGACACAATGTCAGTCACGTGGTATGAAAATATTCTATTACATAAGTTATATCTCTGGCACAAACTCAAATCTCAATATTATAATATATTTTTTATGTTATGTAACAGTTATCGTGGCATTTTCCGTCTAATTTTGAACATAAATTAACTTTTAGAGTAAATTAGGAAAAATTTAAAGCATGAAGGGTCAAAGTGGAAAAAATCAAACTTTAAGGGTCAAAATTAAAAAATAATCAAACATGAAAGGAGCAAACTGTACACAAAATCATGCATAGATTTATATTTTAAAAAATAATTTATAATTTGAATTCAACTTTTATACGAGTCATGGAAAATTAGTTTATATTTTTAATTTGCATATGGCACACCAGTATATATTGTAGCATTACCCACCTGAGTACTTTTGTGTGTGTGAAGTCTGTATCAAGGGTAATGCTGTGTACCATATAATTTCCCGTTTCTATAGCTTTGCTCATTGGCCTAAGCCCTTTTACAGTAAAAAATCCTGTAACATAATTGCATTTACTTAAAAATCAATGACAGCTTTATTTGTTTTCTCCTCAAGCCTAGCACTATTGTCTTCATAGTTCAAATCACAGTTCATTCAAGGAGGCCAGTCAGTCATGTTTCCATTTCCAAAAACAATGAAAATGCTTTTGCTTTATTCATTCTTTTCTGCTCTTCATCATTTTGTTCATGCCATTGCCGCTCCCTATGAACTTTGCTCAAACACAACTATCTCTACAACTAATAGTATATTTGATTATAATCTCGAAATGCTTCTTGATTCTCTGTCCTCAATTGCCCCTGTCTCCAAGTTCTACACCACCAAGATGGGAAATGACCAAGACAAACTTTTTGGTCTCTTTCTCTGCTATAACTTCGTTGCAACACAGCAGTGTGAGAACTGCATAGCAAGTGCAACACAAGACATCAAAAACCGTTGCGAAAACAGAAACAAAGCGGTTGTGTGGGAGGAAAATTGCCAGTTGCGCTACTCCAATGAATCATTCTTTGGCACCATGGACGTGACAGGAAACATTTTTCAATACAACTCGGAAAATGTTTCAGATGATGAACTAGGCCAGTTCATTTCTGTCGTGAATACAGGTTGCATAAGCTTAGCAGGCTGGCAGCATTCAATGCTTCATATGGTATGTATGCCACTGAAGCGGTGAACTTCACAGACACTGAAACAATATACGCTCTCGTGCAGTGCACTACAGACTTGTCTCCAGATGACTGTAAAACATGCCTTGAAACAGCAATATCAAACACTTCAACTTGCTGCTCTAAGTCTCGTGGCGCTAGGCTTTTCAGCCGTAGTTGCTTCTTAAGGTATGAGTTCTATGCGTTTTATGAGGATGCAAGTAAAAGTTCAACAGAAAATCAGAGGGTATTTGCAAGTAAGTGTTAACAAATTCTTTGTCAATATTCGAATTTGATGTACAAATAGTAAGCTGCAAATTTAGTAATTTTATTTCGTCTTGATTTTCGAAAGAAAGCAGCAGGTATTGGATGATTGTTGGCCTTGCAATTGGATCAGCAATTATAGTTGTACCACTTGTGGTATTTTGTGTCTACTGTTTTGCTATAAGGAATCAAACTAAGACAAGTAATGATGCTATCTAGTTGAAGATTCATTTTTTCCCCTTCACTAAAAATTATATCTTTTTTTTCATGACTCTAAAATTAAACCTGTTATTTTTTATTATTATTTTTTTCCCCAATTTTAGAGGAAAGCCAAGTTTCTGGCCAAGAAATTAAATTACATGAAATTGGGGACCCCAACAAGATAGACGTGCATTCTGTAATCTCCTCATTGGTATAGTGATAACCGGTTACTCTCCCGTGGACGTAGGCATTGGGCCGAACCACGTAAAATATTGTGTCTCCTTGTGTGTGGGTGTGTTTTTCTGCTTGTTTTGATTTCTATAAGGTCTTGGGCGGGATCCCAGATCCCAACACAAGATAGACGTGCATCATCAGAATTTGCAGGCAAGGGACAACTTGAATTCTCAGAATTTCCCGTTCATTGATTTGGTGACACTAAGTGCAGCTACAGATAACTTCTCGGCTTCAAATAAGTTTGGACAAGGTGGTTTTGGTCCTGTTTACAAGGTGATGTTGGTGACCTTTTTTCTTCTTTTCTTTTGTGCTTTTTTCTTTTTTCTTGGTTCCTAGTTTTAATTGCCTGAAACATTTTTTTTTCCAGGGTCAATTACTTGATGGGAGGGAAGTTGCAGTGAAGAGGCTCTCAAGTTGTTCAGAGCAAGGTTTAGATGAATTCACCAATGAAGTTTTATTAATATTGAAACTTCAACACAAAAATCTTGTAAGACTTTTGGGGTTTTGCGTAAATGGAGAGGAAAAGCTGCTCATCTATGAATACATGCCCAATGGCAGCCTTGATGTCTTCCTATTTGGTTCGTATCCTTCTTTCTCTCTTTTTTTCTTTTCTTTTTTGTACAATATCTCAGTTTCTTTAATACAAATATAATATATAAAAATGGGTATGTTTTATTGTAGTTAATCAGAAGTTTATTTTCCTAATCTATAGTTTTTTTTTCTCTTCTTTTATGGGTAGATCCTAGGAAGCGTGCACAAATGAATTGGAGCAGGCGTCTAAATATCATCAATGGAATTGCAAGGTTTTTTTTTTTTTTTTGGAGGGGGGGCAAAAATGTCAATCACAAGGAATTGAAGTCAATGCACCCAACAAGAGCCAAAAGAGGCTGGGAAACCCAATCCAATGGTAACATATCGTCTAGTCAAGAACGAGCAGTTCAATGGGTATCCCCATTAGCTACTCTAGGGCACCACTTAAAGGTCAAATTCCCTGTCTAGGGCACAACTTAATTTATTGAGATTAATTTACTGAGTTTAGTAAGTTTATAATTTTGTCATTAAAAATATGACACATAACACTAGTGTGCATATTTTCTATAAAAAGATGCCAAGAGTTGTAATCAATTGGATCAAATTGAGACAAAATCATAAATTTATTGTCAAAATCGAGTCAATTGGAATTATGGGTACCGAAATGATACAAAGACCAAAGTAGGGACTATCGTTGTAATTTGTCATTATTATTTTTATTTTTTATTTTAATTAATTATTTTATTTTATTTTTCTTTTTATTTATTTATTTATTTTTTGGGTGCTCAACACTACATAGGATCTGGACTCAAAAAGTAGGGATGGAAATTAGTTTATCATCCATTCTTCTTCATCTGTTACAGTCATACATCATATCGATTCATAGTCATGTAAAGTAATTTAAGATAGCGTAAATCACAATTTCCCCCCTTTATATTTGGTCACTTTCTCACTTTGGATATTAAAATTTATTTAATTTTTACTCTAGCCTTTCATTTTTCAAGTTTTTCTTAATTTACTATTTCTGTTAAAAATTAGACAGAAAATACACATTGTCAGTCACGTGGTATGAAAATATTATATTATATAACTTATACCTCTAGCGCAAACTCAAATCCCAATATTGTAATATATTTTTTATATTATGTAACAGTTATCGTGGTTTTTTCTGTCTAATTTTGAACCGAAATTAGCTTGTAGAGTAAATTAGGAAAAATTTAAACACATGAAGGGTCAAAGTGAAGAAATTCAAACTTTAAGGATCAAAGTTAAAAAATGATCAAACAAGAGCAAACTGTACACAAAATCATGCATAGATTTACATTTTAAAAAATAATTTATAATTTGAATTCAACTTTTATATAATAGAGCTTGTACCTTTTAATTTTTGAGCTTGTACCTCAAAGATTAGTCATGGAAAATTAGTTTTATTTTTTAATTTGTATATGGCACACCGGTATGTATTGTAGCATTACCCACCTGAGTACTTTTCTGTGTATGAAGTCTGTATCAAGGGTAATGCTGTGTACCATATAATTTCCCGTGTCTATAGCATTACTCATTGGCCTAAGCCCTTTTACAGTAAAAAATCCTGTAACATAATTGCATTTACTTAAAAATCAATGACAGCTTTATTTGTTTTCTCCTCAAGCCTAGCACTATTGTCTTCATAGTTCAAATCACAGTTCATTCAAGGAGGCCAGTCAGTCATGTTTCCATTTCCAAAAACAATGAAAATGTTTTTGCTTTATTCATTCTTTCCTGCTCTTCACCATTTTGTCCATGCCATTGCCCCTCCCTATGAACTTTGCTCTCAAACACAACTATTTCTACAACTAATAGTATATTTGATTATAATCTCGAAAAGCTTCTTGATTCTCTGTCCTCAAATGCTTCTGTCTCCAAGTTCTACACCACCAAGATGGGAAATGATCAAGACAGACTTTTGGGTCTCTTTCTCTGCTACAACTTCGTTCCAACACAGCACTGTGAGAACTGCATAGCAAGTGCAATACAAGACATCAAAAACCATTGCGAAAACAGAAACGAAGCGGTTGTGTGGGAGGAAAATTGCCAATTGCGCTACTCCAATGAATCGTTCTTTGGCACCTTGGACGTGACAGGAAACATTCCGCAATACAACTTGGAAAATGTTTCAGATGATGAACTAGGCCGGTTCATTTCTGTCGTGAACAACACATTGCATAAGCTTAGCAGGCTGGCAGCATTCAATGCTTCATATGGTATGTATGCCACTGAAGCGGTGACCTTCACAGACACTAAAACAATATACGCTCTCGTGCAGTGCACTGCAGACTTGTCTCCAGATGACTGTAACACATGCCTTGAAACAGCAATAGCAAACACTTCAACTTGCTGCTCTAAGTCTCGTGGCGCTAGACTTTTTAGCCGTAGTTGCTTCTTAAGGTATGAGTTCTATGCGTTTTATGAGGATGCGAGTAAAAGTTCAACAGAGAATCAGAGGATATTTGCAAGTAAGTGTTAACAAATTCTCTATCAATATTCGAATTTGATGTACAAATAGTAAGTCACAAATTTAGTAATTTTTTTTTTTTCCTTCTTGATTTTTGAAAGAAAGCAGAAGGTATTGGATGATTGTTGGCCTTGCAATTGGATCAGCAATTATAATTGTAGCACTTGTGGGATTTTGTGTCTACTGTCTTGCTATAAGGAATCAAACTAAGACAAGTAATGATGCTATCTAGTTGAAGATTCTTTTTTTTCCCTTCAATAACAATTATTATTTTTTTTTTTTGGTAACTCTAAAATTAAACCTGTTATTTTTTTTTTCCAATTTTAGAGGAAAGGCAAGTTTCTGGCCAAGAAGTTCAAATACATGAAATTGGGGACCCCAACAAGATAGATGTACATCATCAGAATTTGCAGGCAAGGGACAATTTGAATTCTCAGAATTTCCCGTTCATTGATTTGGTGAGACTAAGTGCAGCTACAGATAACTTCTCGGCTTCAAATAAGCTTGGACAAGGCGGTTTTGGTCCTGTTTACAAGGTGATGACATTTTTTTTTTCTTTTTTACTTTTGTGCTTTTTTCTTTTTTCTTGGTTCCTAGTTTTAATTGCCTGAAACATTTGTTTTTTCCAGGGTCAATTACTTGATGGGAGGGAAGTTGCAGTGAAGAGGCTCTCAAGTTGTTCAGAGCAAGGTTTAGATGAATTCACCAATGAAGTTTTATTAATATTGAAACTTCAACACAAAAATCTTGTAAGGCTTTTGGGGTTTTGCATAGATGGAGAGGAAAAGCTGCTCATCTATGAATACATGCCCAATGGCAGCCTTGACGTCTTCCTATTTGGTTCGTATCCTTCTTTCTTTCTTTCTTTTTTTCTTTTTTGTGCAATATCTCAGTTTTTTAATACAAATGTAATATATAAAAATGGGTATGTTTCATTGTAGTTAATCAGAAGTTTTATTTTCTTAATCTATAATATATGTATATATATTTTTCTATTCTTTTATGGTTAGATCCTAGGAAGCGTGCGCAAATGAATTGGAGTAGGCGTCTAAATATCATCAATGGAATTGCAAGGGGAATGTTATATCTTCATGAGGATTCTCGGCTTAGAATCATTCATAGGGACCTAAAACCAAGCAATGTGTTACTAGATAGTGAATTAAACCCAAAGATCTCAGATTTTGGAATGGCAAGGATCTTCGGAGGAAGTGATGGTGCAACTAACACTTCTAAGATTGTTGGAACATAGTGAGTTCACTGTTTGTTTTTCTCACATTTTTTCTTCTTTTTTTCAAACTAATCTATGTCAAACAATTAAGTAGGTAGCTCCATTAAGCACATGAGTTAACTTATTGAATATCTTTCCAATCCTTTCTCTTGTCGGATAGTGGTTACATGGCTCCAGAGTTTGCAATGGAAGGATTATATTCCATCAAGTCTGATGTTTTCAGTTTTGGTGTCCTTTTGATTGAGATCCTAACTGGGAGGAGGAATGCTAATTTCCATCTCACTAAGTGTGCTCCTAGCCTTATAGCATATGTAAGTTTATTTGGCTTGAGTTAGACTATACTTCTCAAAATTGATAGCCGTGTTGCAAGTTTTGCTTAAATAAGTATATTTGGCTGCGTGATGCTACAGGTTTGGCAATTATGGAATGAAGGGAAAGGGTTGGAATTGATTGATCCATTATTGCCGGAGTCATGTGATCTTGATGAGTTCTTAAGGTACATGCATATTGGTTTATTGTGTGTTCAAGAAGATGCATACGACAGGCCAACTATGTCATCGGTTGTGGTTATGCTAAAAAGTGAAGTTGTAACTCTTAGCCAACCCGAACGACCTGCCTTCTCTGTGGGGAGATTCACTGATCATTATGAACCAAATGATAAAGATTATTCAGTGAATGAATCAACAATTTCTGATATTATGCCTCAGTGATCGATTATGCCAAGTTGAGTAATTGTTTCTATTAGGATAAATTCCCATTAGTCCCTGGAATTTAAGTAAACTATCACTTTAGCTTTTGTGGTTTCAATTTGAACAATTTAAACTCTATACTTTCAATTCTGTTGCAATGTGGTCCCTTCTTCACTTATCGTTAAACTTTGAAACGAAAAAAGACCATTTGCAAAACTAGAGAGACCAAAGTGAAATTTGTTTTGAATTTCATAATGGTCCCTCTAATTTTGCACATGATTTTTTTTTTTATTCAAAATATTAACAACGCAATGACGAAAAGATCACGTTGTAACAAAATTAAAAATAGATGAACTAAATTGTTTAAATTAGAATTACCAAAACCAAAATAAAATTTTGAACCTAAAAGGGCTAGTAGTGTAATTTACCCTAATTAAGACCCCATGCAAATTGTCACTACCAGTCTTTTTCTTTCACATCCTTCTACCTCATATGACTTGGTCGTTTATCGTGCGAGGCGACCGAGGAATTGTAATCCGATGTGGAAGGAATAATTTCCTAACTTATTTCAATTCTTATCTGAAATTTTCAAAGTTTACTTTGTCATTAGTGAGGAATTGTAATCAGATGTGGAAGGAATAATTTTCATGTTGGAGTTTGTATATTTTAATATTAAAATAATTTTATATAAATGGTTATTTATGTAGTTTAAATTATCCTCTATGTATACATGCATAAATTAAACATTGAATTGGTAAAATCAAAAGATGAAAAGATCCCAAATCAATTATCAAATTTTCTATCAGACCTCTTACATGGGTATAGGACCCATACACATGTGATTTGTGTGGCCCTACACCCATATAAGAGGCTTGGTAAAAACTTTAGTAATTCATTTAGAATTCTTAGTATAACTCAAAGATGAATAGTAAACCATTAATGCGTAGTGGGTAAACTCAAAAGTAATTATTAAATAATATCGATAGTGTTACATATACCAATTAGTATATTAATTAGTATACCAACTATGGGGTATATTTTCTGAGTACCAACACATAGCCAAGGTGACGCTGACGTGTCAACCGAGGTGCCACGTATCCTGGTCATGACGCCGAGGTTATCTCGGATAATATTACGATTTTAATTTTTTTAATTTTAAAATATTTTATAAAAATAAATTCAAACTCTATTTTATAAAAATATTTTTAGATATTTTAATTTTTTTGTTATGTATTTGGTTACGATTTGAGTGTAGAGTTGTGAAAGTAGTATGGAGTTTCGAGTTATGTGTTTGGTTATGAGTTTTAAAAATAATTTCTTAATTGAATTTTGTTTTATGTGTTTGGTTATTATTTGAGAGTAGAGTTGTTTTTAAATTTAAAATCTTAAAATTTTAAAATATTTAAATTTTTTGAATACTTAAATTATTTAAATTTTTACGATTTAAATTTTTTGAATATATTTTTAATTTTTTACTTATTAAATTTTTTAGATTATTTAAATTATTTAAATATTTGTGATTTAAATTTTTTGAATATTTATTGTGAAAAAAATTATTTCCTTTGTAGTATTTTCAATTAAAAAATTGATTAATGTTATTTTCGGTTAATAATAATTTTTTCTAATTGAATTTTAAAAAGAGTTTGGTTATGAGTGTCGATCAGAATTTTTAATAGTGTGAAAGTAGTGTGTTTTGTTATAAGTTATAACAATTTAAATTAAGTTTTAAAAATTATTTCCAAAACTCATAACCAAACAAATTTTCTTACTTCACATGTCAAATCAAACTTTCAAAACTCAATTTCACGTACAATTCAAAAACCATAACCAAACAAATTTTCTACACTCAGGTCATGTTTGATTCACAACACTAATAGTGAAGTATTAATAATCCTATTAAATTAGTGTGGTATTAACTATCCCATCCCTACCCCATTACTAATAATCCTACAAATTTGTTGGATTAATTATCCATTGGATTAATAATCCTAAACCAAAATGTCAAAACAAATATAGGATGATTGGACCCACGGATTAATAATCTCAATCCCATGCTTTAATCCTTCCGATCAAACATGCCATCAAACTATAATTTCACAATTTACAAATTCAAAATACAACTTATACTTTCAAATCATATTTACAAAACTCTACCAAACGCAACCAAAATTTTTCTTTTTTTTTTTTTAGAAGTGACTGATTTAACAAAACAATTGAGTACAATATGAGAGCCCAACGAATACGGCAAAATGGGCTTCTATATATTGAAATTCTTGGTCTATTCGTGCGTTGGATCTCTAGCCGAGGGGAGAGGAGCCAATCCCTTTGAGAGACTTGCATGATATTTTTTATTTTGCTTGTGCATTGAAATTCATAATCTATGACAAGACTTTAACCCTTAACGTCTTCTAATGAAGCATAGGAATTCTGAGTAACCCTTAACCCTTAACCCTTACCTATAATTCATAGGATAATTTATACACTCAACATCTTGTTTTAATAAAATCTGGTTGTCAACAAGTGGTCCTATCAAGTTGTCTTCACCCATAAGTATGATATTGGGCATTTTAATATCAGAGTCAATTCCACAAATGGGTTTACATTTATGTATTGATAACCAATCTGTATCCGGAAAATGATAGCATTGGAGTATCTAATGCATATCATTCTTTTAGTCATAGAATTGTATACAATAAGATGAACAGTACCACATCAATTGTCAATATATAATAATTTTGGGGTAACAGTACTATTAGTATTTAGGGAAATTTATACTTTGCCCCATGATTTTTTATTATGCTAGTTAACCTCTTAGACTTTCAGTCAAGTTACGATTGGATTCATTTAGACAACTCCTTTTTGAACACTGACATACAATAATTATGTAGTTGTATTAATTATACTTTGCACTTTTGTATTTTTATCAAAATCTCACTTTAGTTCTTAAAACTCTTGTTCTTTTATCAAAATCTCATTTTGTTCTTAATGCCCTTGTACTTTTATCAAAATCTCAATTGGGCACCTTGACTCCCCTCGTGGGTACCAAATACAATACACAACTCAAAACCACCCGACTCACTACCTGAACTAATAGACTATTTACCACCCATTTAGCTTTCTACTGTTTGCACCATCCATTGAATCGCAAAAGAAATTTTGTAATGCATATGATGCATGAAATTTATAAATACTTATTTTCTCCTAAAATGATTTCCAATGTACACAATTCATTATTTCACCTTTCAATAATAACTATGGTCCATTCAACAATCATCACCAACACAAGGTGTATGTAGAAAAGTATTTCAAATCATACATTTCAACCTCAAATTAAGCAATTACCCTCAATTTCATGTTTTAAAAATCAATTGAACAAAACCCCTCTTTTAAAAACAAGTTTCAAAACTTGGGTTTATAGAAAAATTAGGGGTTTCCTCTCTTTCATGAATTAGAGGCTAAATTTCTTCACTAACAACAATAATCATAAAAAATAAACATAATTCCGTCCAACAATAATCATAAAAAACAAACATAATTCCATCCATAATCATGAATCATTACTCATATCCTTCCAGACCATTTGGTAGCAAACAAAACACATACATATACGTATACATAAATATATATATATATATATCTACAAAATGAATAGGTAATGAAATTACCACATATGAGTTCCAAATTAAAGGTGTAACAAGTTAAGGACACCCCTATCTCAAAATCGAAGCTAAAGTGGAGAATCCAAGCAAAGCCTCAACCAAATCGCAAAATAATCGGTGAATAACTTGAACTTGACTTTCACTACAACTATCTTGAAGGATCTTGGGTGAATCAAATCAAGTGGTTTGGAGCTAGGGTTTCGGAATGGGTGGGAGAAAGAGAGAGAGAGTTTGTGAAAAGTGAAAAAGAAATGAGATAGGTCACCCCTTTAAGTCAGCTGCCCTGACAGACCGCTCGAGCAAACTTTTCTTCGCTCGAGCGACCAAGAAGATTTCAAGGAGACCGCTTGAGTGATACTTCCACCGCTCAAGCGGTAAATGCGGTGTTCCAAAAGTTTTGCAGAGCTACAGTGAAAATACTGAAAGCATGAATTCTAACTTCAAGCGACCACTTCACCACTCGAGTTGTCTCGCTTGCAAAATAACAACTACTAAGAGCTACAAATCTTCACTTGAGCGACGAAATAATTGCTCGAGCGGTCCTCAAAACTCAACTGTCACAGGATGTCACTCCTGAAGTGTGTGGGGATTGCATAAAAAATACAAGCTAGGAGATCATGAATTGTCCAACCAAAAATGCAATTGTATGCATGAATTTTGTTAACTACGATACTCACACGTGGCTTTCTTTTCCTTGATGGTCTATAATGAAATGTATCCTGACTCAAACAATCCGGAGAAAAGTATATCAGACCGTGTTAGTTTATTAAAGTTTTCAAGGATTTTATGAATAAACTCTCGGATGAAGCCACTGTCAATCCTTCTAACCAAATTCTCAAGGAATGAATCAATCTATGGGCTTGCACAGTGCACCAGAGACATCTTTCATAGCGATTGTAGAGCTTGTTTGAAATTTGAATTTGGAGACCTTGAAGCATGTTGCTGTTGAATTTAAAACGCTGTTTCTGATCAGACTACCAAATTTGAGACAATTCCAAACTCGTCCCAAAAGTGTCTCTGTTGCTCTCAACTTGGTTTCTTTCTTGCCTTTTGGCGGTCCAATTATTCCAAGAAGTCTTCAGCTAGTTATTCTACATCAGCCCCTTCTTCTTGAATCAAACTCGACCACGAGTTTGATTCTGGATAGAGGGGTTCTTTAGCATGATACTCATATAAATCAACTACATTAAAAGTCTTGGAAATCTTCATCCCTTCTAGTAGCTCAATCACATAAGCATTGTCATTGATTTTCTTCAACACCCTCTATGGACCATAATTGCGAGGCTTCAATTTGTTGTATGTGCCTATTGGAAATATGTCTTTGCGCAAAAACATCATTACTAAATCTCATTCCTCGAACAATTTAGAGGGACGATGGTTGTCTACGACTGTCATATATTTGGTATTTGTTTCTTCCAACTTCTATCGTACTTCTTCTTGGACTGCTTGGGCTTGTTTGGCCATGGTTTCAACGGCAATACTCACTCTTGGACCACGAGGCAACCGGAGCAGATCAATTGCATGTTTTGGAGGCATGACATACACCAGAGAGAATGGTGACTTTCCTGTGGCACTGTGAACTGCACTATTAGATGCGAATTCCGCTTGAGGCAAAGCAAGATCTCACTACTTTGGTTTGTCTCTACAAATGCTGCGAACCAAATTACCCAAAGTCCTATTAGTCACCTTTGTTTGACCATCTGTTTAAGGATGCATTGAACTACGATTCAAGGTTGTGTTAAATATCTTCCACAAAGTCACCCAAAAGTGGCTGAGGAACTTGACATCACGATATGAGGTAATGGATTAAGGAACTCCATGCAAACGAACTACTTCTCAAAAGAATAATCGAGCCACATGAGAGGCGTCTGAAGTCTTTCAACAAGGAATAAAATGCGCCATCTTTGAAAACCTGTCAACCACTACAAACACGGAATCAACTCTACGTTGGGTACAAGGGAGTCCCAACACAAATTCCATCAACAAGTCTTTCCAAATGTTGTTAGGAACATATAGAGGCATATAGAGGCCAGTATTCTGAGACTGCCCTTTGGATA